TCTCTCTCTCTCTCTCTCTCCCTCTCTCTCCCATAACTTTGAGCACAAGAATGGCTGATCTCCATCCTTGGGTGGGATCTGCTGCTGATCCTCCGTATACATATCTTAGCTCCCGTGGGCAGCACAGTTATAATCACAAGCACTATGCAGGGTCACTGTCTATAGTAACGTTTATTCCTGTCAACGCTTGCTTTATTGTTACACAACTATACCTGTAGATTTCTAATCGTCAAACTCAATGTGGTTTAGGCATCTCATGTTCCGTTTTAGTCATGTCCCCTTAATCAGGAGATTTTCTTATTGACATATTATTCTTTAAAGAGACCATCTAGACTCTGATACTAGATTCTAGAGGGATTGTGACAAAACCCTCCATCTTTCTATTTTGTCACCTATGAGGTGAATTTTTCAGTCATTCAGAGTGGATGCTATCTACTGTACTCTGTACACCCACCACTGGTTCTAAAGTGTCTCTGGAATTTAAGATGAAATAGTTCCTATGAAGCAGGTATTTGCTAGCAGTTCTGACTCAAGTGGATCGCGAGGACAATTGCATACCAAGTATGGAGATTTCTACCAGGGACTCACAATCTAATGAATCGTTGATTGTCAGGGATACTTATGTGTCTTATAGAAAAGAAGTGTCACTGGATAATTAAACAGCAGTTGACAAAACAAGTATCAGTTCCAAAATCACTAAACCTTCTCAAGGACAGTTTATTTTCTCTCTACAGTGTTAATAGATCCTAAAAGATAATTCTGATTTTCTTTTCTCTTTCCAGACACATCCCATGAGTGTAGTGGATCAGGTAAAGCATCATCTCTGTGTGTGTGTGTGTGTGTGTGTGTGTGTGTGTGTGTGTGTGTGAGAGAGAGAGAGAGAGAGAGAGAGAGAGAGAGAGAGAGGAGTTTGCACATGTACATTTGTGTAATATTTGTGTGACATTTGTGTGTACATATGTAATGCCATAAACAGTCTTTTATATATATTAATATATGAATATTGGTTATGTATATATTCATTCCAGGATTTCTTAGCTGTTGGCTATTGACAGGGTTTCCAGTGATAGTTCTGGTCTTACTGTGGAAGATTTAATTTGCCAAATAAAAATGAGAGACTACTTCTTTAGTCATCTCTGAATGAAAATAATTTCAGTTCAGGTTTCTAACTTTAAGTTAGAAAAAAATCCCAATTTGTAACCCTATTATCCAAATACATGCACATTTTGCCATGGAAAGAAATTAGGTTCTCTACCTGAATGTATATTGTGTCTCACTTGTGGAAAATTAATATATCTGTCAATTTTGATCTCCCTCAATTCCCATATCTTTATGTTTCTAGTGCTTGCAAATGTCTTTACTTTTAAAAGAAGTTGCTTTGTGTTCACGTCTGAGACCGTGGGCCACCGATGGCTCCACTTGTATGTCTTACGTGGAACATTGTAATGTTGAAAGGAATACGTAGGAAAGTGATGAAATTTTCTTTCTATGAATATGATTATTGTTAAATTTCCCCAATTTTTAAATACTACGCCAATTAATCAGCTTCATAATGACTTGTCAGTGTGTCTCAAATTACCTTCCCTGCACTCTTGAGTGCTCCAATCACTTTCACTGCTCAAAGGAAAAGTGAGTTAGAGGCAATTATTTGTTTTACTTAAACCTCAATGACTGTATTAGTTTAATACATCTTTTAAAGGATGATGTAAAATTGTATAGATATATTTTATTATTTATAAATTTGGTACAATAATTTACTCTCTATGCTGCTTAGTTATATGTAACTTAGAAAGATTGTTTTTTTTTTCTCCCTCTCTACCGAGGCACTGGCCCAGTACTCTGTTCAGGTCAGTTACGTTGATTATTTAATTTCGTTTTACACATATGCATTAATAAGAAAAGTAGAAATTTCAATATATAGTTTTTGTTTTATTATTTATATAAATATTCACAAAAATTGAGTTGGTTTAAATTTTATTCCTGATTTCATGAAATATAAATTACACTTATATATAGATATTCCAACATTTCAATATTATATATATTCCAATATTATCCAATAATATAATATCCAATACTATATATTCCAATATTACATTTAGAAATAGTCCAATATTTCAGACAGGAATCTATTTTTGTACCCCAAACGAGTTTCTGGAAACGTCACTGAGCAAACATTTGGAGATTTATTTTCTGCTCAACAGACATTCAGGGATAAGCTATATTGACCTTGGATAAAGGACCCTTCTTTTGATATCAAAGTTCTTAAAACTAAAATAAATTTGTTAGAAAATTTTTTGTAGTTAAAATATCAATGAGTTTTTATTAAGAACTAGAGAGATTTGTGTTATTATCTCCTTTTGGCTCAGGTAATCAGGCCTGTATAGATAACTCTGGTCCTCAGGATTTAAGTTTCAGCAGTGATCTTAAGAAGTGAGAATGTGATCTGGCTCCTCAGAGACTCTAACAGTAATTGTTCACACATTTTGTTCGTCTTTTGTTTTGTTTTTGCCTTCAGTCCCTCCCACAATTCTTCCAGTATGATGCTTATCCCCTTTGGACTTACGTTCCACAAGATGTGCACTACATTACCCCTGAAGCTGTTCTTACCACTTTCACACCCATTGTCCCCAAGGATGCAGAAAAAACCAATGAATGGTGGTAAGTTTATGAAAATTAACAAATACTGCTACACTGATGTTTAACAAAGGAAGCAAAGTAGCTTAAAGAACATCTGTAAGAAAATATTTAGAATGAAAATGACAAGTCAGTGATGATAGTATGCTTTCTAGTATCGAAACTCATAATCCTTCCTCAGTAAAGCAAAGAGCAGATTTCTATATTCAATAAGTGAAACCCATTTTAATAATGTAACCAAAAAAAACCTGCTGACATACAGTAAATGTAATACTTCAGTTTTATTAATCTCTAAGCACTTTCATTCTGTGTATATATATGATTAATATAAGTACTATGTGTGTAAAAGCACGTGTATCTAAGCATACATTCATCCTGAATTCAACTCCTGGCCTTTTGATCATTCAAAGTACTACACTAATACTTTATCTTCTTATCCTTAAGGTGATCAATTTCAATACACTTTTTTTGTCAAGAAAATATTGTAAAAAACAGATACTTAATAAGTAGCCGTCATTGAATTTTTCCTCATTAAAATTTTGCTATTGAATAAATTCATCTGATGATGTTAATACTTTTTATCCTTCAGAGATATTAAGACAACTCTCAGGAACGCCACAGTTATAACCCTTGGTGAGTTTATAGATTGCATGTCTAACCTCCATCCTACTACCATTTGAAATTTGAGTTTTCATAATTATGTATTTAAATAGCAACCTAATATTTCACAGTATAAATTATAATAATAGAAAATTCTATGCAAGTATATGTGAATGTTACTATCTCATGGAATAGTGCCTCTGAGACATTTAAAGACAAATAGCAAGATCCCATTCTTTATAATAATAAAGTAGGAATCAATAGCAAATTATATAGTAAATCTAAATGTGTTTTACTCACCTCAGCCAATGTCCCTTCTCCCTCTCCTTCTTACCCCCCGTGTGTGCATGTGCATATGCGAGTGTGTGTGTGTGTGTGTGTGTCTATCTTCCTTAACTTTCCCCCCAAAAAATTACATTAATAAAATGATAATCTTTGGCCTGTGCCACACGTTTATTGTATTTTCCTGGTGGTATCCGTAATATAATAACACAGAAGTTATAGATTAATAACAAGTTTTTTAAGTCAAATAAACAGGAATGATGTGTGTATAGCAGCAGTAGAGAAACAAAAATTAAACTAATGTGCAAGGATTTAATAAAAAGAAAATGACTAGCAAAATGTATAAAATCATAACAACCTCTCTCCCCTCAAAAGTGACATAACATAACTAATCATGCATTTGCCTCTCTACTTACAGATGTGTGACTGGAACCTCCACACTCCATCCTCCTTACACCCTCCACTCATCCTACGAAGCCTCTGTAGTATCTAAGGCTTGACTGCTATTTTAGAGTAGAAAAAAAAACGCCACATAGAGGGCAACGATTCACCTTGAGTTGTCTACTGTGTATTAGATAGCATAGCGTCCTTCCTTAATCTAACCTTTCCTAGACAAGATTTTGTTTTTCTAAACTCCAGTTGCGCCATTTGAGCAGAGAGAGAGTCAAGCCCTCTGACGAGTTTCTATTATGGAAAATTTATTTTGAAAGTCTTTAAATAGATTCTTCTGCAAATGTTATCATTTGGGGTAATTGTGTGTAGTAACTGAGATTATCTTTTTTCCCCTCTTTTCAGTAAAGTACATTTTAAAGCGCAAGTTGTGTTTTCTGTCTTCATTGGGTATTTATATGAGTTTTGTGGAGTGTGTGGATGTGTAAACTTCTATTTAAGCTAATTTTATGACATTCTAATGAAGCTTTTAGGATCACTTTACTTCTAGTTGGTGCTGAAAGTCAGAAAAGATACCTGTAATCTATGTACAGCATCGTTAGCTTAAAGCTGTTTGTTCATAGAATATATACCATGTGGAAACACAGAATTACACAGCAGTATGTGAGTGACAGGGACACTGAGAATTTGAACCTGGTTGTGCTTTACTTCTGACAACTAAATAGGTTTGAGGCAAATTCATAATTATACATGAATAAGTAACAAAAAAAATAACTCTACAAGAGTAAACACATCAACTTAATCTGAGATTATTAATAGGACAGACAGATACATTTTCTGCAACTTAAACTTTAGTGCAAAGCTACATTAAATCTGTCGATGAAACTGTTGAGTGAAGTGAGGTCATTTATTTGTAACATAAACCAAATTTCTTCTCTCGCCTTACATTTTAAATCGGTTTGGGGAAAAGTAGATTCACAATATTTTTGTGTGCAAGACAAATACCAGGAACTTTAATTTTAAATAACCACATTTAAGTTCTGTATCACCTGCAAAAAGTAGCTATCATTGCCTCCTTCAACTTTTCACGATCCTTCAATATCCACCAGGGAAACAGCAGGAAGTAGAATTGCCTTATCAGATGACTCGTTGCCATTTCCTTTTTCAGTCTTTAGCTCACTGACCTTTACCTAGAAATGGAGTGCACGGTTAATTTGCAATTTAACTCCAGGCGACGTGATTTCCAGTGAATCTCTTTCTATCTTTTAACTCTACACATCAGGGAGAGTAAATCAGTGTTTTATATCCACTCAAACTATACACTGCAACCTGAGCAACATGGGAAGTTAAACCGGAATGGTGTATACTCTTCCTAAAATGGAGGCAAACATCTCATGCCACACCGCCTATTACTCGACTCAAAGAAACCCTGCCACAAATCACAGCTCTACAGAGGATTCACCACACTAAGTAGGAAGGTGTACTAACATTGATCCAAGACTCTGTAAGATGATGAAATAATTCCTTCTACAAGTAAAAGCCCCAATAGGTAGAGAACAAACATTTAGACTAAGAAATATGTTCTATTGGAGGATCCTTCCTATAGAATCTGATTTCTCAGGATTCAAAGGATATAAATATAAAACTGATTCGTATTTGGAACCCAATGACAGAGTGCCACATGAATCTCTCTAAGGGTAGTTTTACCAAGAATCTGCTCATCATTCACGGATATTTCTATAATCTATATCAGTCTCCTGGTGTTGCTGCCATTAAATACTTCCTAGAGAATAATGAGTTTTACAGGCCATAACTTCTCTTCTAACCATTTGTCTGCAATGCTTACCATGATTAAAATAGACATAACAGAACATTATGAGTAATTTTCTTGAAAACGTGTTCTCTAATTAATACCGTATATTCTGATGCAGTAGATTGGATTATTGATGCCTCACTTTCCTTAATGTCCCCCTAAGAACCAGAAAATTTGTGAACTCAATTATCATTATAATATCTGTGACCTGTGTGAAGCTCTAATCTTAAAAGATTCTATGCATCAGTGTATATTTTCAGTCAGTTCTAAGGGAGGTGAAGACATGATTCACACACAGGAAAAAAGACACAGGAAGGCAAAGCACTGAAGAAGAGATAAGACTTTACTGACGTACTTTTTTTTTGAGGTGCTAGTATATTCCACTTTGGGGTATATACTCTATTCTATCCTACATTTGAGTTACAGCCATAGAATGTCACTTACATAGAGTCCACTCATGTTATTTTAGGTGGCAGGAGCTACTAATTTTCAATTATAATCTATTTTTTCTTCCCTTGTACTCAGTTTATCCAAAGGATCATTAAGTCATTTTTTGTAGACTTTACTTTGGGCTATCAATAAATCTATGGCTCATACCAGTGATGCATATTTTAGTTGAACACATATAGATATTTGTCTACTGACAAATATTTTTAGTTTTATTATATATTAGACAGACTTCTGAAACATGTAAGCCCATCCATGTACTTACTTGGAAAATCAAGTTTTAGCAAAGAATACTTCTTAGGCAGTCTAACAAACCCCTAAATATTTAGTTACTCTCACTATCTGATCTGGTTCATTGTATCACTCCCTTAAATAATATCTGGTTCCTTTGGCTTGTCTTTAGTATCATGTTAGTTCATTTATCCTGACCTCTGATACTTTCTCATAGTAACTTCACACTTACTGCCTCCCTCCATGATCCTTTGCTGGAAATAGTCCTACATTTATAGAGATCGAGTTTTCATCTTTTCCAAAATCCCACTGCTATTATTATTTTATCTATCTCAGTGGTTCTTTCCTTACTGTGCTTTAACAATTATTGGATACATTTTTAATATCACATGCCTAACAATGGGACCACTAGTCACAAAATACACTATCATTAACTTTCAAACAACACTAACAGAAGTTTAGCAGTAGCTTTGCCAATTTTCATTTAAGTTAGCATTGCTATGAGTTCTTTTACCACTGTAGTTTTTGTTGTTGTCGTTTTATTTGTGTTCTTTTCATACAGGATTTTCTAGAGAAAGAGGTTTTAATTCTTTTCGTTTCAACTCCTCTGGATATTATATACTGACTTGAATTGGCATTTTCGCTTGATAACTAGAGATGTTGAATACCTTCTTCAAAAATTTGTTGCTCATCAAGATTTCTTTCTTGTTCAGTCTATTCAAGTATCTGAGGCTTGATTAGAATAAATTATGTTAGCAAATGTTAAAACTGGTCATATAACTGGACTCTTCAAATATAAACTAATGATTCTATTGCATAGGCTGTACACAATAGTAATGACTGTAGTACTAATATGATTTTGGTTCTTTATACATTTCAAATGTCAGCACTGCAAGTATCACGAATGCTCTCTCTGCATCTCTTGTTTGCCAGTCCATGTGTTTAATTGCTTCTTGTATTGAACCTTAAGTTCTTTGATAAAGCAAAACCATAAGTAAATTATTTGTCTTAGTCATTGATTTAAGAATTTATTATTTCATTGTTAAAGTGATTTGTCAGGAGCCAGCATAGGACAGGCTAATAATTAGCAGGTGAACTTCCTGAGATGATCTCCCTCAGATTATAATCCAAGACAGATTTGGTTCCATAGGCAAGGCCCAAGAGAAAGTCATTTTAAGAAGGATTCCTGCTATTAGTATGCTTTTCCTGCTATTATTAAACATATATAACAATCACTAGGTATTAGACCACTCCCTTAGAGCAGATCTAGGCAGATCTACAAAGATGTACTGTCTTGTAGTGATGCTATATAAGCAAATAGATGACTTCTTAATTCTTAATGGTGATCCTATAAGAATTCTTAAAATTATAGCAGTGATTATTAAGCCTTTTTGCCCCAGCCTGTGGGGATTTGACGAGACCTTATGGAAGGAGGCGAAAGAATGAAAGGACAAGAGACACAAAGAAGAAGCACATGTCTGAATGTCTGATCAAGTGCTTAAATTTTATTGTTTGGGCTGCTGTTATAAAGGCAAGCAGTAGGGAGGGTCATCTAACAGGGTCCAGGTCATCCCGTAACTGGAAAGTTCTCTAAGCCCATAAGAATTCCTAGCCCAAATAACTTATCTAAATATTTTCTCACAAGCAAGAGGGCAATTAAAACATTTCTTGGCTCAACTTGCTTATCTAATTAATATTTTCTCCTTGGCAGGAGAGCAATAAAGTATTCCTTAACTAAGGCTATTTACCTAACTGACATTTGCTCTCAGGCAGGAGAGAGTCTTGGCTCCCAGCACCTTTTTATATGTGGGACTGCTATTAGAGCCTTTTCTGATAGTCAAAACTTCAATGAAAACTCTGTCGCTGTCCCAAGTATCACCAGTTAATTGCTCTTAGATAGTAACCAGACATTCTACTACTCAGAGCACATTCCAAGAAGTTGTAAAACAATTAACAAAAGGCATAAAAAATGAACTAATGATTTATTATAGGTTCTAGGACAGAAGAGAAAATGTTGACTGGTTTTATCTATACAAAACTTTAATAATTTAGAATTTTTAACTTTCAGTGAACCTGTGGAGCTGTGACAGGTGATGAATGTTTAGCCAGATAACTACTTCTAATGGATATGCATGTAAACATTCACTGTTATAAACTTCTTATTTGATTTATGATTTGAATTTTATGTGTAAACTTGTGATGAACTTTTTACCATATGATCATATATTCTGAAAGATGTATAAGTACTGAGGACAAAGAGATGAAAAAAAATTTTCCTTTCCCTGCTTGTTAGGATCTTTCTGCTTTCCCCTTTTCTTAGTTTTCATAGGAAACTTTTTCCAACTTAGTAATAAATGTTATAATCACTTTTCAACGTGTCCCTTTTTCTTCCTGTGACTTCCAACTAGCAGGCTGTACATTAGAGCCATGCAGTTTCTACTGATAGAATAAAGACCACATTACTTAATCATCTGCTGTTAGGCTACAGGTGCTAATTGCCTAAGCCAGCAACAGTTTACCCTCAGAAAGAGCAAGAAAGTTTTTAGGACCTTTTAGAAGGTAGCGTTGGCATTTCAGTATAATTAGGGAGCTAGAACATCTGGAGAAGCTCCGTCTTTAAAGCCATACCAGAGTCCTACTCTGTGCCTCATCTCTACCCTCTCCAGGCTGGGAAGCTCCCTGCAGTGATTTCTAAAATCACTATTTCCAATAGCAGCTCCTGGGAGTCAATTGGTTTTTTTACTTTTATTTTTCTATAATATATTACAGTGTGACCATAGTTTCTCCTCCATCTTTTTTGCCCATTCCCTCTCCCTACTCTCTTCCTCCCTCAGATCAACTCCTACTCCTTTTTCCTTAAAAACAACACTTCTTTACCAGTGATGATGCCGGTACCAAAACTGCCGGTAATCTTCCTATTCAATCCTCCCTCTGAACTTGCACATCTTCCTCCCAATAAGCCCCCTCCTTGTCACATATCCTGGCCCATAACACCAGTCAAGAGATCACACAGGTTGCCAGAATCCCATCAGAGACACCTCACTTGACCAGAGGATACATCTACTATCAAAACTGCAAGCCGCCTAGGCCAGAAGACCAAAGAGAAAACAAAAGGCAAATACATCTATCCAACAAAGACAAACTCAGAAACTGGCACCTAAACATATAATTAACCCAAATCCAAATGCCTAGATACCAGTGTAAGTACACAATCAACAAGCACCAGAGGAATTTGTCTCTACCAGACTCCACTTATGCTACCCCAGCAAGCCTGATTATTCCAACATAGCCAAAGCACAAGAAAAATGACCTTAAAACCAACTTCATGAAGATGATAGAGGTTCTTCAAGAGGAAATGAATAAATCCAGGGAAACACAAACAAACTGTTGGGGGAAATGAATAAATTGTTTAAGACCTGAAAATGAAAATAAAAGCAATAAATAAAAAATAAATCCTGGAAAGGGAAAATCTAGGTAAGCAAACAGGACCTACAAATACAGCATCAGCAACAGAAAAGAAAAGAAAAGATGGAAGAAAGAATCTCAGGCATAGAAGATATGATAAAGGAAATTGATTTATCAACCAAAATAATGTAAAATCTAAAAAACTTCTGACAAAATATCTAGGAAATCTGGGACAGCATATATATATAAAGAATAGGCATAGAATAGAAGATGGAGAAGAATCCCACCCAAAGA